GGCGATCCTCCACTTTTTATGTTCTGAACTTTGGACTGCTTCATTAAAAGTGGCAGGAACGTCATCAATTGCAATTGGTGATGCAAATGAGACCATATCAGCATAACGAGCAGGTTGTCTAATGGTCCTCTTTCCCTTTCTGAGTGCAATTGATTCATGTTGCTGTGGAGGTTCTTAGGTCTGAACCTCTTCTTCATCTGACTCTTCTTCTACCATAGGAGAGTCAACATCAGTTTCTTTACTTGCTGTGACAATTCTACTTCCTTCAAACTCCACCTGTTTGGGAATTCCATCTGTCTGCTCCAATTTTTCTGAAGTCACATGTCTCAACATGGTAGATTCATCAAAGGTAACATCCCTGCTGAAGATTATTTTCTTTGTTTCTGGACACCAAAGACGGTAGCCTTTCATACTAGAGGTGATCCCCATAAAGATCACCTTCTTTGCTCTTAGATCCTGCTTTGACTCCTTATCATGGTAGTATGCAGTGGAACCAAACACATGTAAGGAATCATAATCTGTAACAGGTTCTCCAAACCATTTCTCTAATGGTGTTTTACCACCAATAGCAGTTGATGGTAAGCGGTTGACAAGGTGACAAGCATAGACCAAAACCTCGTCCCAAAATTCTTTGCTTAACCCAGCATTAGACAACATACACCGAACTTTCTCTACTAATATCCGGTTTATACGCTCTGTTACCCCATTCTGTTGTGGTGTATATCTGACAGTGAAATGTTTGACAATACCTTCTTCTTCACATACTTTCAGAAATTGATCATTTTTGTACTCTTCACCATTGTCTGTACGGAGACGTTTGATTTTTATGCCTGTTTGAGTCTCCACCATCTTTTTCCATTTAACGAAAAATCCTAGCACCTCATCCTTTGTCTTCATTGTATACACCCAAACTCTCCGAGAAAAATCATCAACAAATGTGACATAATAGTGTGTTCCTCCTAATGAAGTTGTCTTGGAAGACCCCCATACATCTGAATGAACATAATCCAAAATACCTTTAGTATCATGAATTGTTGTTTCAAATTTCACCCTCGTTTTCTTCCCTTTGATGCAATGCTCACAAAAAACTAATTTGCAAGCCCGAGCACCCTTCAATAATCTATCTTCAAGGATTTTTCATGCCCCAATCATATGTCATAACCTGGTTGTTTCTGACTCCTGTTCATCAGTAGAAGTTGTCACTACTGCTGTCCCAACAATTGTACTACCATGAAAGTAATACACATTATTTCTTTTCCGGATTCCCTTCATTATCACCAATGCACCAGAGATAATCCTCAAAATCCCATCTTTTGCCCTCACTTTTAAACCTTTTGACTCTATGGTTCTCACAGATATGAGATTTTTTATTAAATCTGGTACATAATGGACACCTGTTAAGGTTCTGATTGATTCATTATGATTCCTCAAGCGAATTGAACCAATCCTAAGTGTGTCAAGAGGAAAATTATTTGATAGGTAGACAATTTCACCTTTTAGTTCTTTAAAATCAAAGAACCATTCTCTATGGGGGTTATATGGTGGCTACAAGCTGAATCTAACAGCCATGAACTGGAACAGTTGGTTGATGGCGTAGCAGCGAATGCGAAATCTGAATCTGCATCATCATACTCAACCATATTTGATTCTGAGACAGTCTTTCCTCTTTTAGGTTTGCTTTTATTCTTTAGCCTGAGATATTCTTTCTTCCAGTGCTTTTTTTCTCGACAAAAGGCACATTCATCTTTGCTCAATTTAGACTTTGACTTCGATCTCCCTCTCCTTCCTTTTTTCTGACTCTTCGAACGGTCTCTAACAACAAGAGCTTCTGCTTCGACACTTGTGTTTTCTTTTTTGTCTTTCTTTCTCAATTCTTAACTATACAAGGCAGTTGTTACTTCACTGAGAGACGCATCAACCTTCCCATGAAGTAGAGTAGTTTCAAGATACTCAAACTCATCAAGAAGTGATCCCATCAAAATCAGAGCCAGATCTTCGTCTTCAAAAGTCATGTCCATATTCATCAGATTAGTCACCAGCTGATTAAAGCTAGTAATGTGATCATTCATGGTAATACCTGGTACATAGTTGAAGTGGAACAATATCTTTTTCATGTAGAGCTTGTTCTGATCGCTTTTCTTCAAAAATTTCTCTTCGAGTGCCTTCCACAATTTAATTGCAGAAGTTTCCTTAGAAAATGCATACTTCTGCTCTCTAGAAAGGCACGATCGAATAGTACCACATGTCAATCTATTGATCATCTTCCATTCTTTCTCCTCAACATCATCTGGTTTCTCTCCTTAAATAACAATGCCTAGACCCTGCTGAAATAGGATATCTAGAACCTCACTTTGCCATATGCCGAAATGACCGGTGCCATCAAAAATCTTCACTGCAAATTTAACATTTGTCTTAACATTTGTCATAGCATTTCTTGTCAAAATTAAAGATAAAGAAGCTGTTGACGAAGATGTGGATTTTTTTGTGTCGTCTGTCATTTCTGCTACAAATTCTATTTAATAGCTGTCAATGCGGAATGTTAATTAGCCCAAAGAAATTTTTTTCTGATGTGGAAGATCAGCTTAAGCCGCAACCACAGAGCATACTAAAAAAACCAAGAGCTCTGATGTCAATTGTTATGAAATTCGAGTTAATTTCCACCAATAATAAAAAATTCACCTTGAAAAATATTATCTAGGTGACTAGTGTGAAAACGATTGTACTAAAAATCACCCCAAGGTAGATTCCAAGGAAAGAGTGGAAGAGTCACAATGATTCCTCTTAAAACTCACTTTCTTTAGACATAACTACCAAGACAAGTAATTTTAATAGGACAATAATTAACAACAACTATACCCGATAATATCTATTAAATAGACATAAAATAGAACATCAAAATTTAACGAGGTTAGGCCAAAATTATACCTACGTCCTCGAATACTATTAAAATAATATTTAACTAATAAAAGAAATATTACAAAGAGAGAAAAAAAGTACAAATAGCCTTTAATATAGAAGAAGACTTATATTTGTGAGATGCTAAACTAAGGAGGAGGAAGACTCTATTTATAACAAAAGAATTTCCCCTCCTCCTTATACAAAACCAATGTGGGATTTAAAATTTGCCAAAAAACCAACAAATAACACAATCAAAACAACAAAAGAAAGTAGCAAGCACAATCGAAATTCCTTCCTAAAACGTTAAATCACCTGCAAAACCTAAGGGATATAACCAAACATCAATAATAAGAAGATAAAAATATAACATAAAAATATATCAACTTGAATGATATAAAATATTAAAAATTTTCTTTTCTCTACATAAAAAAATAAAATTAAACAATCAAATCAAAAAATATATCAAATATTAAATAAAAAGAACAAATACTTAAAAATTACTTATTTTAGAATTCTTTTTCAACCCATAAAAGTTTCGATACCAATCGAAACCACAAAGTAACATTTGTACTGTATCAATTTCTAAAGATGAATGATATACATCAATCATTCTACCACCAACACTAAAAGTAGATTCTAAGGCAACTGTGGTAATACGAATAGAGAAGATTTCACAAGCCATTTTTTTTTATAAAAATTCAAAACTTGAGGTTATTAACCTTCCACCACTTTAAGGCAACAAAATCACCACAATTTTCCTTATAAATGAACACTCCTTCCAAGTATATATATAGTTCAGACTTTACATTATCAATTGTGTCAACACTTCAAATATATCTTTTAAATTTGGACCTCCAAAGTTTACCCTAATATTTATCATTTTTTTTGCATCTTATCAACCATATGTCTTATCCAAAGTTCCTCACTCAAAGATTTCTCCATCAATAGTTCATTGATACTCCAGAGTTCAGAAAGAAACAAATTTGAAGTTGGATATTCAGAACCTAAACTTTATAAAAGAAAAAACACGTTAAATTAAATATCATAATAAAAATTAATAAATAATGAAATAAAACTAGATATTCAGAACCTAATATTTTAGGTTGAAATCCAAATTTTAGGTTGCATAAAAGAAAAAACACATTAAATTAAATATCATAATGAAAATTAATAAATAATGAAATAAAACTAGATATTCAGAACCTAATATTTTAGGTTGAAATCCAAATTTTAGGTTGGGAATCCAGATTTTGGGTTGGAATCCAAATTTTAGGTTGGAAACTAGATTTTAAGTTGGAATCCAAATTTTAAGTTAGGTTGGAATTCAGATTTTAGTTTGAAATCTAGATTTTAGGTTAGAAACTAGATTATTGGGTACAAGTCTGTTATAAGTTTATTGTTGGAATTATGTGATCATTTTAACTAATGTAAGTAAGAAACAGATTAATGTCAGTATTGGAATTAAGTATTATTTACACCGCTAATATCTACTAATTACGCTCTATGTTGTAATTATGTGTTACTATCACTAGAAGAATCAAGCTCAACGCATTAAGCACAACGCCGGCTCCTCATGTACACAGTTACGTGGCTTTTAGATATATAAAATATATAGCATAGATCTGATAGGACAAAATGGGCACTCCTCTTTGTCCTTTCGAAATCACTTACACATTCATTCCTATTAAAGAAAGACCATCTAAAATAAATTTTGACGGATTAATAATTTTTCATCTAAATAAAAAAGAATAAATTATTGATTATCGATTAATTTCTCCAAATTTTCATAGGTTTTTCATTAGCATTGTATCACTTTTTGATTTTAAGTTTGATTTGAAACATGATAAAACTACTAAAACTTAATTAAGTTTCATTTACATTAAAAAAACACTCGGTAATTGATTCTAACACTAGTTCGAACTCAGGCTAAAATTAGAACTGTAACTTTCAAAAAGTAATTAAGAATAAAGTGTTTCAGGCGAACCCAAATAACTCGTAAGTACGATCCGTTTACCCGGATAAAGATAACGTGAAGGAGAGAAAGTTAAAAAGTCATAGAGAGCAGGAGAGAAAGTATCCAAAAATAGAGGGATCAGAAATACCTTTTTAATTTTCTAACAAGAAAGTGAAGGAGAGAAAGAAGTCATACAAAGCAGGCACCGATGAAGTTATCTAAAATTCAATGAAGATTTTACCAAAAGAAAAGGAGAAATATCAGTAAAATAGAGAGAAATCTTGTAAACCCAAAAAAAAACTCTTACCTGATTATACCACACAGTTGAATAGGGAGATAAGTGGAAGCTTAAGATCTGGTTGCACAAATAAGAGTTTAGGGTTTGAGAAAAAGGGGAAGAAAGCATAGAAGAGAGAATAGAAACGAAAAGAGTTTCTGTTACAATTAAGAGAAAATGGTAAATCATATAATTGGTGCTTAAACTTCTTAGTATTTATTATTTAAACTCCATGTTTTACCGTGTATTTAATTTAATATGTACCTTCACTGATATTTAAAATATAAAAAAAATTAAACGAACTTGTTCATGAACATATAAACGAACTCATAAATGAGTTTGTTCGTGAACTAAACGAACCAAGCACACATATGTTTGTATTCATTCGTTTATTAAACGAACATAAAATGTTTGTATTTAAACTCCATGTTTTACCGTGTATTTAATTTAATATGTACCTTCACTGATATTTAAAATATAAAAAAATTAAACGAGCTTGTTCATGAACATATAACGAACTCATAAATGAGTTGTTCGTGAACTAAACGAACCAAGCACACATATGTTTGTATTCATTCGTTTATTAAACGAACATAAAATTTTTGTTTATACTCGTTTATTTAACTTAATGAACGAACATAAATGAACCTTATACGAACGGTTCACAAACAATTCACCGAACGATATGTTCATTTACACTCCTAGATTCCTTAAACAATAATTCTATTACTGAGATGTCAATTTAGTGGTTCACATGTTTATTCACGATGAAAATAATATCTCCTTCGATAATAGCATGAATTCATCCATTCTTGGTTGTGTCTCCCCTCTAAACACTGTGCAATACCTCCTATAATCATGTCATTATGGTCCCTTGCAACCACTCTAATTGTCGTGGTTCTGATGTGAACAATAAAGCGTTACTAATATTGATCTTTGTGCAACCGTCATGAGGTTTGATTTATAACATTTTAGAGTTAACGTCCACCAATTTTGGGTGGTGAATAGAGGCTTGTATGCCTCACAAATCTTTTTCTCAAGCTCCAAGCCGCATTGATCACCTCTCTCGCTTACTAGAGTTATTTGTCATTGATCCATTATTTCGACGGGTCCATATATCTAAGGGAGATTAATGAGTTTAGTAAAATTCGCTCGATCCAAGTGAACAATCGCTTCTCCAAACCAAGATTTGTAATTTGTGGCGTTAGAAGAGATGATCTTATGGTCTAGCCTTGAGAGTGTAAGTTCTCGACCATGGGGCATACCTTGAGGGCATGAACGATCGTCTCGATCCCCTGATTACACATGGGACAGATTCCTTGACTCGACTGTCGAGAGCTTCAAACATGTGGGTAATACATCTTGACAAGCTCGTCATCCAAAAACTTTTTATTTTAGACAACGTGAAAAGCTTCGAAATTATCCTCCATATGGATGACCTACCTCGCTCCGTGTCGACCTTTATAAAAAGTCAATTATACCCAGATTTGGTTGAATAGCATCTTATATTATGGTGCTCCCAAATAAGGCGATGAGTTTCTTATGGTGATATAATAGTACTAAAAAATATGCTTACATCATGAATTAGAAAGATCTTTCTAACTTTGTTGTCATCCCATTTTTGACAGCCCAGAATCATAAAGTCCTTACACCGAATCAATTGTTCAATGTTATCCATGAACGTGTTGGCTAATTTTAACGATTTGAACTCCCAAACGATCGAAATACATTCTAGAGGACCCGCTAAACCTAATTTGTCAGAAGTGGTCGTCTTTGAGTGACTTCTTTTCCTGTTCCAAGGCTTTTCCATGCATAAGATGTCTTATCCCCTAGCTTGGCTTCCATGAAGAAGAAATGCTTAAAATATTCCGCTATAAATAAATACACTAAAGAGGAGAGAGTGAGGGTTATGAGCGAACCTCCAAACTTGATTACTAAGTAATGCCAAATTAAAAAGCTTGAGGTCATGAATGTCCAATCCATGGTCTCTTTTAGCTCGACAAATTTATTCATGAGGATTCTGTTTCCTTGACCATTAATAAACTCTTATATATTAATTTTTTTGAAAAAATTTAGGTTGAGCAACTACGCATACAAGATGTATATATTTGTTAATAAAATAAAAGAATCTAAATAAATACTACATTATAACCACCTCGCTACCTCAAACCATTTTAATATATATACTTTACGACCTATAAACAACATCCATTTATATTTGAAATTTGTTATACATGTTTGGATTTTTTTATCGAAATATGTGACTTACCTCATACCATTTTAATATATATACTTTACTACCTATAAACAACATCCATTTATTTTTGCAATGTGTTATACATGTTTGGATTTTTTTAACAAAATATGTGACTAGTTAAATATTATTAATATATGATTATTTTTAATTTTAAAATGATAGAAAGTAGTTATATTTTTCTCTCTAATTTTAAGGTTTCGCCTTATTAATTTAAATCGACTGAAGTCGCACATTTAATTTTAGTGGGTGAATATCCCAATAGAGATTTTATGCATACACAAAAACTCGAACCTGAGATATTACTTAAACAATATCAAATTGTTTACCACTTGAACCAACCTCTCATAATTACATATTTGCATGTAAATAAATATCGCATTTATGATCAATCTTAAAATGAACTTGGTAAATATCCAATATACCAAATACTATATTAGGTCGTGTGTTATTTATAACCGGAACAAAATAAAAATATTAATTTAAAAGAATATAAATTTGTAAAAATGAAGAAATAAATTATAATTTAATTGTTGAATAAAATTTTCAACTTTATTTTATAAATTAAATGTAATTTTATGGGGTTTGGGCCACCTAAATGAATACCTCTTAACTAGTTTGTAATGTATTTAATTATGATACTTTATATCACAATTAAATAGTTACAAAATTATATAATTATAAAAACTTGTAGCCACTCCATCGGGTTCCTTTACGTATGAGCTGTTTTGAAATGAAATGGCATATTCGTTAATAACTGAGATGTTAAGGCCAAATTGCTAAACTCGAGAAATTCTTCACTCAACCGCCAAAACAGAATTAGAGTACACAATAATCAGTCACACTCCTCCCTCCCCGCCCAATATGCTTTCTGGTTCTTTCATCGCCTAATATTCCTCTCTTGTTCATCCCCTTTAGGCGTACTTATAAAATATAGCTGAGGGCTCCCACTCTCTCGCCCTCCCTTTTGCTTCATTTTTGTCTCGCCTTATTCTTTTTATCTGTTAGTTTTGCTCTCCTCTCCCAAACGACGAACAAAGAGCTCTCAAAGGTATATTTCTCTCCCTCTAAATCACAATGTTATTTGTTCCTCTCTTTAATATCTTTTTCTGGCGTTTTCTTTTCTTTTCTCTTTTCATATCGATGCGAGACATTATTGAAGTTACAGAGGAAGCGGGGGCGGTTCCTCTGCCTTCTCCGACTCTGTTTCCCGGAGACGGTGAGAAAGAACTAGAAGATTTGTCGGGAAAGGAGGTGAAAGAAGCTGATTCTTTGATCTATCGTCAACTGAAGGAAGAACGGATAACGCCGATCGCGGAACAGCTTTTGGAGACTATGGAAAAAGAAAGTGACGAAGCGACCGAGAAATCATCTGATTTCAGCTCGTATAAGGAGTTTAAGTCTGCTTGGAATTCTCTACCCTCAGCAGGGAAAAAGTGTTTCAAAGAAGATGAAGTTTATGAATGTTTTGAGGAACCTTCGTTAGGTTCTTTAAAAACTGTCAACGTAAAATCAACTCATAACGGAGAGGCACCTCTTGAATCAAGAGAGGGAGAAAATCCAAATATACTGAAATAGAAATGTCAAGACTCCATCGGAAAAGGAGAGTCGTATAAATCGCAGGAAGAAAATCAATCGACTGAAAAATTGGAAAAGCTAAATAAGATGGTGAGAGTGCATAGCTACGAGAAAATCGTTGATAACGCCAGCGTGACGCATATACCCTTGAAGTCGTGTGCTAGCATAGGCTCAAATTTTGAGAACTTTGAACCGAATAGTATATACTCTGCGATTAAATTGAACAACACAGAAAATAATGCAATGATGGAAGAAGCGTGGGAGGCACTCCTGAAATCTTACGTATATTACAAAGGCCTGCCTGTTGGAACCCTTGCGGCCATGGATCCTACCGCCGAGGCTTTGAATTACAATCAGGTATAATTTGTTTAGTTCTTTGTTGTCTTTTATGTTTCTTCAAATTCAATACCTCCCTTGTTTTGTTATAGTATTATTCTTTTCCTTTGTTTGAAAATGAAACTGAATTTCTCTTAGACGGTTAGTATACTGCATCTTTCTTTAGTAGGTAATTAGGAGCTATTGTATGTTCAGATTTTTTACTTATTGAAGTCTGGTCTTCCTAAATCCTATAGCATTTTGAGACATTTTCTGTTTGTTGAATGATTTTAATGAATTCTTAATTTGGCATTTATGAGAACCATTAATCTACTTCTTAGCCATGTTGTTTACTAACTAAGTCGATCTATGGTTACACTTGTTATGTTACTTGCGATGAAAGTAGGCACTTCATGATAAGCCCTACGTGTAACTGCAAATTTTGTGGGTAAAGGTAATGCAGGGAACTGGATTTATATTGTTATCTTTACTATTTTTAGTTGAAACTTATTTTCAGTATCATCAGTCGTTACATTTTCCTAATTTATTTTAAAACAAACGTTGAAGGTATTTTCCCATACATGTGAAAGTTGACACTTGTTGTAGATGCCAATACTGAGAGGAGTTGGTGAATGTTTATTTTACAGCAACTAAAAAAAAAAATCAAAAACTGTTTTTATTTTTGGCTAAACTATTATTCAATCATAGTATTTAACGTTTAACAAATTCATGCGCTGATATTTTTTATTTTACTTTGATAGATAGAACGAGTTAAAAGAGTTTGAATTCCTTATCTCGTAGTTGCCAATTACATGGAACCAATAGCATTGCACAATTCTTATCTTGCAGGTTTTTGTTGGTCAAATATGAATACTAGCAGCCGGTGGCTGCTTGATATTCAAAGGTGGGGGGCTGCTTTGAATAAATGGGTGGCTGCCTAATTTTGTTGAATTTAGGTTTGGGTTAATTATTTTTGGTCACTAGACTTTAGAGTATTTTCAAAGATTAGTCCCTAAGTTTTAACTATAAATACCCTAGCTCATTTAGCTTCAAAATCATCCCAAAATCTTCTAGTTCTCTCTCAAGTGTGTTGTGTAAACACCTGTAAATTTTCTCTTAGTAAAAGATCTGCAGCAGCCCGGAGACGTAAGCACAATTGGCTGAACTCCGTTATCAATTTCGGGTATTATTTTTCCGCTTTTATTTCGCATTCTTACAAATCTGGTTATAGGGAAATTACTCGTACTCGGTTTATTTCCTAACAACTGGTAATCAGAGCTTTTGGTTGTGAATTTTGTCAATTTTTCTGCGAGGTTACTATTCATTACTATTCACGTGAATAGTGAATTTCGTGAATAGTGAAATTCGGTCGGCGATACGAATTTGTCGACGGAGGTGTTTTAATACACGGTGGTTCGCAAAAATTGTCAAAAACGATCCAAACGAAGCCAGATTCGAGTGGGAGCGATGGCTGCAGACGAAGGGAAGGTGAAAATTGAAAAGTTCGATGGTGCGGACTTTGGCTTTTGGAAGATGCAGATTGAAGATTTTTTGTACCAGAAAAATCTATATCAACCTCTTTCAGGAAAGCAACCAGAGGGCATGAAGAATGAAGACTGGGCTCTTCTCGACAGACAAGCCCTCGGAGTTATCCGACTGACGTTATCCCGCAATGTTGCTTTCAACATAGCAAAGGAAAAGACACGGCGGGTCTTATGGCGGCTCTCTCCAGTATGTATGAGAAGCCATCGGCCTCAAACAAAGTTTATTTGATGAGGCGATTATTCAATTTGCGGATGACGGAAGGGGCATCAGTGGCTCAACACCTGAATGAACTCAACACAATCACAACCCAGTTGAGTTCTGTGGAAATTGAATTCGATGATGAAGTTCGAGCTTTAATTCTCTTATCATCTCTACCAGACAGTTGGAATGCTACTGTTACAGCAGTTAGCAGCTCGTCGGGAAATAGTAAATTGAAATTCGACGATGTTCGGGATCTGGTACTGAGCGAAGAAATTCGACGGAGAGAATCGGGTGAAGCATCAACCTCCTCAGCCTTGCACACGGAGTCCAGAGGGAGAACTTCAGAAAGAAATTCAAATCGTGGCAGATCCAAATCCAGACGGGAAAAATCCAGAACGGGAAAGAAAGATTTTACCTGTTATAATTGTGGCAAGAAAGGTCACTTTAAAAGAGATTGCCGAGCACTGAAGAAAGATACCGGTGCACAGGAATCTGCCAACGTGACAGAGGAGACAGGTGATGCCATGATTCTAAGCGTCAACAGTCCGATTGAATCATGGATCTTGGATTCAGGGGCATCTTTCCACTCCACCCCATGCCAAGAAATCATGGAGAACTATATCAGTGGTGATTTTGGGAAGGTTCATCTTGCTGATGATGAAACCTTGAAGATCGTCGGAAAAGGAGATATCCGACTAAAGCTGCCAAACCAGACCACCTGGAAGCTGACAGGAGTGAGACATATTCCTGGCCTCAAAAGAAATCTGATTTCTGTTGGACAGCTTGATGGAGAAGGATATAGTACAACCTTTTCAGGTTGTGAATGGAAGATTACCAAAGGAGCACTCGTCATTGCTCGTGGTAAGAAGACTGGTACTCTCTATGTAACCTCAAATTTAGAGAATATCATTGCAGTAGCAGATGCTGATGGAAAATCAAACCTATGGCACCAAGGCTTGGCCATATGAGCGAGAAAGGAATGAAGATACTTCTGTCAAAAGGGAAGTTGCCGGATCTAAAGAATGTAGATGTCGGACTATGCGAGGATTGCATCTTTGGAAAACAAAGAAAGTCAGTTTTGCAAAGATTGGCAAGGCACCCAAGGCAGAAAGGTTAGAATTGATTCATACTGATGTATGGGGACCATCCCCAGTTCCATCTCTTGCAGGCTCACTATATTATGTCACCTTCATCGATGATTCAACAAGGAAGGTGTGGGTTTATTTTCTGAAGAAGAAATCAGAAGTCTTTGATACCTTCAGAAAATGGAAGGCCATGGTGGAAAATGAGACTGGTTTGAAAGTCAAGAGGTTGAGGTCTGACAATGGAGGAGAGTACAGAGACAGTAGATTCAGAGATTTCTGCGCAAACAATGGGATTAAGATGGAGAAAACAGTTCCCATAACACCGCAGCAGAATGGCGTAGCAGAGCGCATGAACAGAACTCTGAATGAACGTGCTAGAAGCATGAGGATACATGCCGGATTGCCCAAATTTCTATGGGCTGAAGCTATCAACACTGCAGCTTACCTGATCAACCGTGGGCCCTCTGTTCCTTTGGATGGCGGAATACCAGAGGAAGCTTGGAGCAAGAAAGAAATAAACCTTCACACTTAAGAGTGTTTGGTTGTATTTCTTATGTACACATAGACTCTGCTGAAAGAAGTAAACTTGATGCTAAGTCCAACAAATGTGCCTTTGTTGGTTATGGCGGTGATGAGTTCGGTTTCCGGTTTTGGGACTACGAAAATCGAAAGATCATCAGAAGCAGAGACATCATTTTCAATGAAAATGTGATGTACAAAGACAGGTCAACCGCAGAATCAAGTAATACTGAGGCTGAAACAAAGGAATTTGCTGAGTTCGAGGAGATTTCTAAAAATGATGTTCAGATCAGTCCTGAAGCAGTTCAAGAGGAAGAACCAGGCACACCAGAACTGAGACGCTCCTCCAGAATTCCTAAACCAACCCAACGGTATTCACCTTCTTTACACTACTTGTTGCTGACTGACAATGGTGAACCAGAGTGTTATGATGAAGCAATGCAAGTGGAGGATTCAGTCAAGTGGGAGTCTTCCATGAAAGATGAGATGGACTCGCTTATGTCAAATCAGACGTGGGAATTAGCTGAATTACCACCAGGCAAGAGAGCGCTCCATAACAAGTGGATTTACAGGATCAAAGAAGAGCACGATGGGAGCAAACGTTACAAAGCAAGATTGGTTGTCAAAGGCTTTCAGCAAAAAGAAGGTATTGATTACAATGAAATTTTCTCTCCAGTCGTGAAACTGTCTACAATCAGACTGGTGTTGAAAATTGTAGCTGCAGAAAATTTACATCTTGAGCAGTTAGATGTAAAGACAGCTTTCCTTCATGGTGATTTGGAGGAAGAAATCTATATGAGGCAGCCAGAAGGCTTCATAGAGGCAGGCAAGAAAAACCTGGTATGCAGGTTGAAGAAGAGCTGTATGGTTTAAAACAAGCTCCTAGACAGTGGTACAAGAAGTTCGATAGTTTCATGGGTAGTAGTGGTTTTACCAGATGCCAAGCAGATCATTGTTGTTACATCAAGAGGTTCGACAACAGCTTCATTATTTTATTATTGTACGTTGATGACATGCTCGTTGCAGGCTCAAACATGCAAGAGATTATACACTTAAAGCAAAAATTGTCGAAGCAGTTTGCTATGAAGGATCTGGGCGCTGCAAAGCAGATTCTTGGGATGAGGATCAAGAGAGACACAAAGTCGGGGACTTTGATGTTATCACAGGCTGAGTACATCAACAAAGTACTCTCCAGGTTCAACATGCAAGATGCTAAACCAGTAAATACACCTTTAGGTGTTCATTTCAGACTCTCCAAAGAACAGTCACCAAAGACGGAGGAAGAACGTGCACACATGGTGAAGGTGCCGTATGCCTCAGCAATTGGAAGTCTGATGTATGCCATGGTTTGTACCAGACCAGATATTGCTCAAGCAGTGGGAGCTGTTAGCAGGTACATGAATAATCCAGGCAAAATACACTGGGAAGCAGTCAAATGGATCCTCAGATATCTGCGAGGTACCACAAACAAAGCACTTTGTTTCAAAGGTGGAGATACGATACTGACAGGCTATGTAGATGCTGACTTAGCCGGAAATGTTGACATCAGAAGAAGCACTACAGGGTATGTCTATACTCTAGGAGGAACCGCAGTGAGTTGGGTTTCTCAACTACAGAAGATAGTTGCTCTCTCCACAACCGAAGCAGAATATGTCGCTGTTACGGAAGCCAGCAAAGAGATGGTCTGGCTCCAAAGTTTCTTGAATGAGTTAGGCAAGAAACAAGAAAACAATGTCTTATATTGCGACAGTCAAAGTGCTATCCATCTAGCGAAGAATCCGTCTTTCATTCCAGGACGAAGCACATACAATTGCGATATCATTTTATCCGGTCTCTTCTAGAAGATGGGATTTTGAAACTTGAAAAGATCAGTGGAGCTCAAAATCCAGCAGACATGTTGACAAAGACGGTGACCACGGACAAACTGAAGTTGTGTTCAACTTCAGTTGGCATGCTAGAGTAACAAGACTAGAAAAGCTGCTGCATCGATCGAGGTGTGAAGATAGATTAAAATCAGTCTTCAAGTGGGAGATTGTTGGTCAAATATGAATACTAGCAGCCGGTGGCTGCTTGATATTCAAAGGTGGGGGGGCTGCTTTGAATAAATGGGTGGCTGCCTAATTTTGTTGAATTTAGGTTTGGGTTAATTATTTTTGGTCACTAGACTTTAGAGTTTTTTCAAAGATTAGTCCCTAAGTTTTAACTATAAATACCCTAGCTCATTTAGCTTCAAAATCATCCCAAAATCTTCTAGTTCTCTCTCAAGTGTGTTGTGTAAACACCTGTAAATTTTCTCTTAGTAAAAGATCTGCAGCAGCCCGGAGACGTAAGCACAATTGGCTGAACTCCGTTATCAATTTCGGGTATTATTTTTCCGCTTTTATTTCGCATTCTTACAAATCTGGTTATAGGGAAATTACTCGTACTCGGTTTATTTCCTAACAGTTTTTGTAAGAGACTTTGCTCCCAGCGGCTTAGCCTGTCTAATGAGACCAGCCAGTGCTGGTGGCGATCCAGAGATAGTAAAGAATTTCCTGTTAAAAACTCTCCACCTCCAAGGTTGGGAGAAAAGGATAGACAACTTTACACTTGCAGAAGGTGTCATGCCTGCCAGTTTTAAAGTTCTTTATGATTCGCATAGGCTGAGGGAAACCTTGGTTGCAGATTTTGGTGGCAGTGCCATAGGGAGGGTTGCTCCTGTTGACTCTGGGTTCTGGTGGATCATTCTGCTAAGATCATGTACCAAGTGCACGCATAATCACACACTTTCAGAAATGCCTGAGGTACAGAGAGGAATGAAGTTGATACTTAACCTTTTCCTTTCAGATGGATTTGATACTTTTCCAACTCATTTGTGTGCAGATGGCTGTAGCATGATTGATAGGAGAATGGTAAGTTATCCTGTTATCATGAAATAATCCTTTGACTGCTCTAACTGCTTAATATATAGCTTGCCAATCTAAATGGGCAATATTCTGTTGCCCTTAGAGCCTGTGATCTATCATTGCATGATTTTATCCTGGCCCTTGTCTAGTAGCAGAGAAGTCATACTGGCCACGCTCTATTTTCTTTTGTTCTGAACCTCCATTAGCTATGCCAGTAATTTTGCAAGTTTTTAGACAGAGGGGTTATAGCTTGACTTATATTCTTTGGATTCATTTTATGTACTAGAGTGCCTAGTGTTGCTTCAGGTGTTGGTTCCTAATGCACTAAGATTGAGTATAATTTTTGGATTTCAACGTGCTTGCACATTGGGCAGGGAATTTACGGATATCCTATTGAAATCCAAGCCCTCTTCTATTTTGCATTAAGGTGTTCAAGGGAGATGCTGAAACCAGAGCGAGATGGCAAGGAATTGATCAAGCGCATTGATAAGCGCATAACAGCTCTCAATTATCACATCCGAAATTACTACTGGCTTGATTTCACAAAGTTAAACAACATATATCGTTACAAAACTGAGTATTCCCACACTGCTGTCAATAAATTCAATGTAATTCCCGAGTCCATTCCTGATTGGGTGTTTGATTTTATGCCCCTAAGAGGGGGATATCTGATTGGTAATGTCAGCCCAGCTCGAATGGACTTCCGCTGGTTTTTGGTTGGAAACTGCATTGCAATCTTAAGTTCATTAGTTACACCTGCACAAGCAACATCAATTATGGATTTGATTGAGGAGCGTTGGGAGGACTTGATAGGAGAGATGCCTTTGAAGATCGTTTATCCAGCCCTGGAGGGTCATGTTTGGAGAACTGTCACTGGATTTGATCCAAAGAATACACGATGGAGTTACCATAATGGTGTTTATTTTTAAGTAAGGAATTTCTATGGTCTGATAAACTAACTGCATAGGTAATTAACATTCTTGGCTTGGTGTTTTGAATATTGTAAGCAGCTTTGATATGGCTACTCGCAGCAGCATGTATCAAGACAGGAAGGCCTCAAATTGCAAAACGAGCCATAGAGCTGATGGAACAGCGCCTTTCCAAAGATGGATGGCCTGAATACTATGATGGTAAGGCCGGGAGTTATGTGGGAAAGCAAGCAAGGAAGTATCAGACATGGAGCATTACTGGCTACTTGGTCGCCAAGCTGTGATAGAGAACCCAACCAACCTCCTGATTATCTCCCTTGAAGAAGATAAAAGAATCTCCAAGCCAAAGCTCACCCGCTCCATCTCATTTTAAGAATAAAACAAGATGAAACATGCAACTGGGGTGATGTTTAGTATGATGTTGCAATTTTTTCTTTAGAATGATGTTGAGAAAAGAGAATTATCAAAATGTTACCATTTTTGTCGTATAATCAATCCACTTACAATAGGATCTCAACGACTAATTCTTTTTCACTGATGTTTTCGTATAAAAGATTATGAATATTGGGGCCAAGATAGAAAGGTTGAAACCTGGAATTTTATGATTCCAACCGTTTTGGCATCGTGGTAAATAACAAAGACTTGTACAGTTTACGGCACGGCAAAGATTAACAAATCCCATTACACAGAGTCCATAACTGTAGAGGCCAAGAACAAAACAGCAACGGCCCCACTGCTCTTTCTCCCCAGCCGGCTTAACAATAAACCAACGGGCAGGATCACTGCTAAAAATCCGTAATTTACAGAAAATAAAATAAAGAAAAACATAAACTATTTGAATAGTCACTTTAACTACGGGAAGTTCTAATTTAATCATTGATTTATTATTATCAACCAAATCATTATCTAAAGGATACTTATTATTTAAGTCACATGTCATTAATGACATATCAACGTTATAATTAAATAAATTTGTATAATATCTAAGTAAAATATTAAATTCAACTTCGTGATTAAGCATGTATTTCCTTATCCTTCTTATTCAGGTTTAAATCTCTCAATCCCATTATTTTTTTTCCATTTTCACTAATAAGATAACCTTTGATAATGTTATGTTTGGCTTGTACTTTTACAAGCTAAAAGTTGATTAGTTAACAAGTGTTGGTTAAAATTGGTAGCCATCAAAGAATTCAAATTTACTACCACTTTAGAATTCAAGTTTGATTTTGCTACATAGGTTGGCTACACAGGTTGATAAGTTGATTCAAGTTAGCAAGTGGCCAACTTATGCACATGGAAAAATTCATCTTTGGTCCCTGAGCTATTAGGTTATTTATAAGTTTAGTCCTAAGCACATTCACTTGAAATCATACCAAAAAGTTTTCTCTCCCATTTGTTTTCTTCATTCTCATACTTTGTAATATTTTGGGAATTCTAAGGAATTCCATTTGTTGTAATGTTTTTGTTGATAGTGAAGTTATCATCCGCTGGTGGTGCCCGAGGAGTAGACGATATTTTCGTTGAACCTCGTAAATTTGGTGTGCTCTTTCCATTATTGTTCTTTCTTGTGCTTTGGTAAAATTCATCTTAACATTTCAAATCAATTTAAAACTACATTCGTGTGGGAAATAATTTGATTTCTCCAACAATTGATATCATAATTACGGTTGACGTTATCATGCTATTCCGTCGCTGAAAATATCAAGTTTGTGCTATTGAGTATTATTCGTTGGCATTGAAATGACAAAATACGGATCAAGTGAGACATCAAGCTCTTCATCCAGACCGATAAGGAGGGTGGTGCCAAATGCAAACTTCTTAGTTGATTTTTTCGATGGATCCAGTCATTTCGACATGTGACAAGGTGATGTGTTAGACGTTTTATTCCAACAAGGTCCAGACATCGCCATTGAGGAAGAAAAGCCTGCATATATGGAGGAGAAAGAATGGAGAATAATTAACCATTTGGTGTGCAAGATGATTCGATCTTGTCTTTCTAGGAAGCATAAGTATGGCTATAAGGACGAGACTTCTGCAAGTAAGTTATGGAAAGCATTAGACGAAAAATTCCTAAAGAAAAACTCTCACAATCTTCTCCATATGAAGAAAAGATTATTTAGATTTGATTATCAATAAGGCGTCAATATGAATGAACACATCACTACTTTCAATGAACTAGTGGCAGATTTATTGGCAATGGATGAAACCTTCAAAGAAGAAGATTTGGCTTTAATATTGTTATCATATGTTCCAGATGAATTTGAGCACCTTGAGACAATGTTACTTCATGGTAAGGATCAATTTACTCTTAAAGATGTAATTGTTTCTTTGTATAGTTATGAGTTTAGGGAGAAAACTAAGAAGGAGAGTAAGTACGAAGTATTGGAGGTCATGGTGGCAGGTCACTCGAAAAGCCAAAAGCCAAAGAGGAGAGGGAGATCAAAGTCGAAGTCCAGAATGGGAAAAGATGAATGTGCATTTTGTCATGAGAAAGGCTAGTGGAAGAAAGATTGTCCGAAGCTGAAGAAGAAAGGAAAAGTTGCTCCAGATACATGTGTCGCAGAGCATGAACATGATGCCAAGGACTCTGACATATCATTGGTTGCTTCATCATCAATATTCCATTCAGATGAGTGGATATTAGACTCAGATTACACCTATCATATGTCCCCTAATCAAGAGTAGTTCTCTGATTTAATAGAACTAAGTGCATGAATTGTTTATATGGGCAACGATAATGATTGTAAAACTGTTAAGATAGGTTCAATACGATTGAAGAATCAATATGGATCAACTAGGGCTCTGACTGATGTCCGATACATGCCCAGATTGAAGAAAAAATTTATCTCTTTGGGAGCCTTGGAATTCAAAGGCTAAGTTGTCACTATGAAAGATTGAGTTCTGAAAGTCACATTTGGTGCACTTGTGATGATGAAAGGCATCAGAAAAAATAATTTCTATTACTACCAAGGTAATACAATTATTGGAGCAATTACAACAATTCCTTATGGCGATAATTTGGATAAAACTCAAGTGTGGCATATGCAATTGAGACATGTTGGAGAGAAATCTTTGCAAATTTTGGAAAAGCAAAGATTTTTTAAAGGTGCAAAGGCTTGCAAATTGAACTTTTGGAGTATTGTGTTATAGGAAAGTAGAAAAGAGCGAAGTTTGGCACCACAATCCATAATACAACAGATATTTTGGATTATATTCACTTAGATGTATGGGGTCCTACCAGGACACCATATTTGGGAGGAAAACATTATTTTGTAACTTTTGTAGATGATTTTTCTAGAATAGTTTAGGTGTATCCAATGAAGTCTAAATATGAAGTGCTCCAAATTTTCCTTAAATAGAAAAATATGGTCGAGAACCAGACTAGTAGAAAGATCAAACAACTTAGGACAGACAATGTAGGGGAATATATAAGTGATCCACTATTTGACTTTTTTAGGAGCATGGTATTGTTCAACACTCCACTATTAGAAATACACGCAACAAAATTAGGTGGCAAAGCATATAAATTGAACATTATTGGAAAAAGTTTGATGTATGTTATCTAATACTGATTAAGCAAAGCATTTTGGGTTGAGGATGTGACATATGCTGACAATCTCATCAATTGTCTACCACCATCTACAATAGAAAGAAACACATCATTGGAGATATGGTTTGGAAAACTACTACAGATTATGATTCCTTACATGTTTTTGGATCCATTGTTTATCATCATATGAATGAATCAAAGCTTGATCAAAGAGCAAAGAAGGCTCTCTTTATGGGAATCACCCATGGAGTGGAGAAATTTCGCCTTTGGTGTATAGACACCAAGAAGATATTTTGTAGCATAGATGTTACCTTTGATGAATCTTCCATAGTAAAGAAGGCAACCAATGTAGTTGTTCAAACAAGAAGTACTTCGCAGCAAGTGGAGAATACTCCAAAACAGGTGGAGTTTCAACATACAATGATCCTAGAAGTTGATGGAATTTATTCTTCAACTCCATTAGAAGAATCAAAAGATGAAGAGGTTCAAACCCAAAAACTACTAGAGACACTATAACCACTTGCAATTACAAGGCCAACGAAAGAAATTTGTAGACCTGCTCGATTTGCTGATATGGTGGCATATGCTCTTCTAGTTGTTGATGATGATATTTGTATCACTTACCAAGAAGCAATGCAAAGCTTGGAAAGTGACAAGTGAAAAAGTGTCATGGATGAAGAAAAAAAATCTCTCCAAAAGAACAACACTTGGAAGTCGAAACAATTACCTAAAGGTAAAAGAGCAATTAGATGCAAGTGGGTATTGCCAAATAAAGATGGATCTCCTATCAAGAAATATATTCGCTACAAGACAAGGTTGGTAGCTAAAGGCTATGCTCAAAAGGATGGAAGACTACAATGAAGTATTTTCCCTATTGTGAAGCATTCCTCCATTAGAATATTGTTGACCTTGGTAGCTCAGTTGAATTTAGAGCTAGATTAACTTGATATAAAGATATATTTCTTGCATGTGATTTGGAAGAGGGGATCTATATGACTCATCCAGAAGGATACAAATATGGTGATTATGATAAATGGGTTTGTAAGTTGAACAAATCTCCATATAGATTGAAATAATCTCCGATGAAGTGGTACAAGTGATTTGATAGCTTTATGAGAAGGCATAAGTACACCAAAAGAAAATATGATCATTATGTGTATTTGTAAAAGCTACAAGATGAATCTTTCATTTATATCTTCTTGTATGTTAACAATATATTGATCGCTTCGAAGAGTAAAAATGAGATAGACAAATTAAAGGCTCAGTTGAATCAAGAGTTTGAGATGAAAGATCTAGGTGAAGCCAAGAAAATCCTTAGTATGAAAATAAGCAGAAATAGATAGAAAGGTAATTTTTGTTTGACAAAGAAGCAATATCTGAAAAAGGTATTACAATATTTTGGCTTGAATGAAAAGACCAAACATGTAAGTATCCCATTTGTTTCTCATTTCAAAATTTGTTCTCAATTGTCTCTTAAAACTAATGAAGAATAAGAATATATGGCAAAAGTTTCATATGTTAATGCAGTTGGGAGTTTGATGTATGCGATGGTGTGTATGCGTCCTAACATTTCACAAGCAGTTGGAGTTGTGAGCATGTACATACATGATCCTAGAAAAGGGCATTGACAAACTGTGAAATAGATTCTATGGTACGTCCGACAAACTGTGGATGGTGGTTTAGTTTTTGCATAGGATGAAACACTTAGTTAGTTGGTGGTTGGATATGTTGATT